TAACGACATCAGATTCAATTCACGATATTTTCCCTCATGGCTTCTTCCACGATGCATAGGTAAATATGAAATAATTAATTTATAACTAATAATTTTAAAACAAACTAACCATTTCTTATTAAATGTTTCTTCATTAGTCTTTAGATCACCATCATCTACAAGCAAGAAAACAGAAAAAAGAAATAAAAATTGCAAACTCTTTTAAACATTATAATTTTTTCAAATAGCAAACACTTTTATAATTTATAAACTTTTATTAATTAACAGCAATAAAGGATGCAGTAAAATTTTTCTCCACAGCAGTAAATTCATCTATAAATTCTTTTCCCCGATGTAGTAAATCTGAATACACTGAAAACAATTTAATAATTTCATTCCCCACAAGGCAGTAAAATTAAAATTTTCAGCAGTACGTTTATATAAATGTTAGCAGTACTAACCTTTTCAAAAATCAACCGCACACAAAGTCTATCCACACTCGCACAGCTCGTCCTCGAAGAATTGTTTAAAATAATGTTTTCAAGTTTCAACTCTCACTGATAACAACTCAAACTAATAATAACAAATTTTAAACTTTCTTTTAACCCGGTTGGAAAGGAACTATATAATAATCCCAATTAACCAACGCAGCTTACTAAACACCATGAAACACAAACTAACAGCATGACTAAGAAAAGAAAACGCACGGTATCCAAACTGGATTAAACCAGCTTAAAGAACCGATAATTTATTCTTTTGAAGACTATTGATAATTCTAAAAAAGAAAGCATAAAACACCAAAAAGTCGAAAGACAAACTTAAACCAAACAATTTAATTTTTGAGAAAAAGACACGACTAAAACAACAAAAGGAAAAACTAGAAACAAACACGACACAAAAGGTTAACACAAAACGGGACCCCATAAAAAACCAACATGAAATCATACCCTCACTGCTGGCCTAACCCACCAGAAGAGGACAAAATCCTGAGCATGCTTAATAGCCGGCCTAACCCACCGTGCTAGAATCCACGCTTTGTGACCAAACTCCTTATTTTGATAAGAGGTACTCAAGTGTGAGTAACTCTTTTAAAATAACTGAACTAAAAATAAAAGTTTTTGCGATAAAAAATTATAAAAAATCATAAATAAAAATAAGACTTACTAAACATTTATTTATGTAAAATATGTATTGCAGCAATATAGATCATACACAATCACGAAGACGAGCATCAAGCAGCTAAGACGACCTCATCACACACAATCTATGGAATGGCTGAGCACAACCGATATGCCACTCACAACTACAACTCAAAGGATTTAAAGTACGACTTGACTCCGAAGCAAAGGACTTCATTGAAACAGACCAATGACCACCTCTATGTTCAAGTATACGTACAGATCCGAGTTACAGGGCTTTCCCTCCAAACTGGAGCTTCACGCCATTCCCAATTCGGATCGAAACATAGTTCACCACACCGATCAAGAACAGACGATCATAACAAACTATCTCGAAATCAGATTGATTTTCTTAACGATCTCAGTCATCGTTGAAGGACAAGATGAAATCTATGATTCCATTTTCCTGGAGTTTCCTCCTCCAAGAATAGAAAAGAAATGATGCTCGCGAAACACGAACGATCAATCATCCATCCTCCACTACAGAAATAAGTCAAAGAAACAAAAACTCTGTAACCCCGGTTGGGTGGAACCTGATTCAAACTGTATATTTTTATTGGTTATAAATTAGATATTTTATCCCAATAAAATATTGAAGACTAATCAATTATACTCCATCTAACTAACAACCCATTTATTTGTAACTGCTGAAACTACTTGTAGTTTCTGCACCAGAGCATTCTGAATTTAACTTACAGCTTAGTTGCTTTTTCCAAGAGACCAACTCGTAACAAACCAGTATACTCTAGATCTATTGAGACTAAGAGATATAAGAGTAAGATTAGGATTGGTATTAGATTAAGAAGTTGCACGAAAGTATCCGGCCGAAAATTAGATAGCGTGACGAGCAGACGGTGTACCTTATCTGAAATTACTCTATGAGTTAGACCTTCCGTCACAACTCATAATTTCATAACCATAAAATTTTTAAATCTAAAGAAAAGTTGTGTCTGATTGCTAATAACTTAAATGCTTTCATCAAGTTCATTAAAATTTCCTAAATTTCACGAGGGGAGCTCTCAGCGGTATTTCGAAACTATTTATTCAATTAGTCATGAATACCAGAACACAGGCATTATAGCCCTATATCCGGTCTCCATTTTATGCCTAGAAAACTATTGGAAACGAGATAAAAAAGGCTGTCATTTTTTTTGCATAAACGGCAAATCAAACTAACTTAAGCCTCGAGGCACTTAATTTTTCCGAAGACAAACCAAAAATCATATCTTGTGAAAAATGTTAATTTTAATTGCAAAAGATTTATTGATATTTCATGTATTCTATGGAATGATTGAGAAATACGAGCTGCAATAGCCCTCGCCGAGTAAAATTAATTTTTTATCAAATCTTTTTTCTATAAAAGGCGCTAAATGTGAAGATCCTATGAAAACACAGCTTGTCTACTTAGTTTTCCTGATTAGATTAATGAATATTTTCATTTTTTATACGTACTTCTTTCTTTGTTTTTATAAATCTCGTTGTATCTTCTGGACTCCTTTATGTTTCCAGACTGGACTATCAGTCGGAGTCATTAAATTAGAACAGTCAATTTTAGAGCAAAAAACTGGCCGTGGGGTTTAAAGATAAGTGAGGGCTGAAGAATTCTGTTGAAGTTAAAGCAGTATAAAGTAACGCTCTCCCAAGCCATCAATATTTGAAGTCAGTTCATCAGTGCAATTAAATTGTAATTAAAGAAAATGTCAAACGGTAAAATTAAGAGTAATAAAGCAAAGGAGTCAAAATTTTCACTGCCCAACGGACCGCTTCGCTCCTCGAGAGAGATAGAGAGTCACGAAGTTATGTTTTCAAAGTTTCTTGTTTCTGTAAATCAAGTCTGCTTTCAAAAGTACCAGTTTTTATTAGTTTTGTTGACAGAATTTGAAAAAAAGCTCCAATGGTCACTTTGATTCAGTTTGTTAAAATTTTTGTAATCATATATAGCCGAAATTTTGAATTTTAAAAAAGTGAAACTTTAGATTGAAGAGGATCTGGTCGAAACGTTTTTGAAGTGTTGGAAAATTTTGAATGTCAACATCAATCAAAATTTGTTGTTCTTACACTACAATCATAGACCAGTGACCAAATATTTTCAGCTAAAATCAATGAATTGTACTGTACGTACTTGATTATTTATTTTGCGTAACCAATTTTCTCTTTGTTTTTAGAATGCAAATCAGAAGGGATTTTTAAAGTTAGTCTCTTTGAATTATATCTGCTTTGTTTGAAGAGTAAGTTTACTTTTTTCGGATATTTTTTGTGTTGATACTTTTAAGTTATAATATTGTTCGTTTTTCTTATTATCAAACCAATAGCTTACCTAAAGTTCTTAAGTAATTGATATTGTTGACATGACATCTTGCTTAATTTTTGAATGTTAGAAAAGTTTGGTATGAAATCGAGAATGGCAGAAATTCCAATTTTGTGTTTCGTAAAAGCCTAGAAAAAATGAATGGGACCTAGTCAAAAGGTTTTTGAAGTATTGGAAAAATGTCTTGAATCTTTGAAAGTCTTCAGTATAACTTTTGCGATTTTGGTTGTTTCTTCATGTTTCTCTGAAATTTCTTGAAGGATGATTGATATTTTCATTAAGTTTTGACAAGATTTTTTAAAGAAATGAAAGCTTGATTGACCCGATGATGAAAAAATATGCAGTCTTAGCCCGCGCGGTCTGATTTATGATTTTCAGAAAACTTCAAAAATTAGGCCTTTTATGGTTACTAAGACACAACCAATTTAACAAAATTAATGTAAGTTGGTCCCAATTGAGTTCTGAGTGCAGTTTTGAGCCATAAAGTAATACAGCTATGATTTAAATTATCCGGACAAATCGAACAAAACTTAAATTTTCAAACACATTTTTCGCAAATTGGGTTGAGATAAGACAAGAAATGAAGAGTACAAAACTTGCTTAGACTTTCATCTGAATTAATATGATTTATTTTTTCTATCAAAATCTCAATCAAAATTTTACCGCAAAACGGGTCTTTTTGGTTTTTTTCAATTGATCAAGAATTACGCTGAAACTACTTGTTAATTGACGAGGAATATATATCACAAGAAGCCTTTTACACAGCCAACAAAGTTCTACAAGGGTTAAATCTTCAAAATTTTGGGTAAATTGTTTGAAATTTGCTTTCAAGCAAAGATTTTAAGTTTAATATAGTAAAAATCACGTTTCCTGACTATCAAGCCAAACTATTTTCTCTTATACAGGTTTTTGGAGATTTATTCCTTCTCGAACTTTGTTGGGCTGTGAAGATGCTTCTTTTGATAAAAAATTCTTTATCAATCAACAAAGTAGTCTCAGTATAATTCTTGTTTAATTGAAAAAAAAAACCAAAATGACACATTTTTGGGGTAAATTTTTGGTTGAGAAGTTCGGAGAAAAAATTGCACCATATTATTTCTGATGAAACTCCAAGAAACTTTTGTTCCCTTCTTTTCTTTGTCTAATCGTATCCCAATTTGAGAAAAACGTGAATGAAATTTCAAGTTTTGTTCATTTTGTCCGGATAGTTTAAATCAGTACTGTATTTGCACAGAATCATAATCTGCAGAAAATGTACATTAAATTTGACGGGTATCGAAGCCGTAAACTTTTCAAAGAAGCGGAAGATTTGGGAAGGGGTCGATGAGGAATTCAGTTAGGACGAAGTGCAGACCCTTTTTTGGTATTTTAATAGAGCTCAAAAAGCAAACTAGTTGACCCAAGATAATTTTATATGTGAGTAACAACATAGATTTAAGTTGATCTAAGGTGAAAGATTAAAAAATTATTTAGTAATGTCAATGGCTCTGCCCTGTCAATATTTGAATCAAATGATAAGTTCATAAACGCCTAACTCATTTTTCTCGTTTCTCCAGGCGCACTTCATAATAGGGAGCATTCGATACCAATGATACTTTAGGAATGAGAGGGGGCAGCGCATCTGCCGGGCAAATTTTGAATCTCCTCAAAACATTTGCAAACACTAAGTGCATTTCCAACTTAGCAACTGCCTCGCCTGGACACGCCCTCAACCCCACCCCGAATGGCATCAAGTATTGGCTCTTCACAAAACAACCATCGGGGTCCAAGAAGTTTTCCGGATTGAACTCAGTCGGAAATTTCCAGAATTTTGGATCTCGGTTGATAGCAACGCTGTTCGGAAACATACGAGTTCCTTTCGGTATTTTGAACCCGTGGAAGTTCTCAACGTCAACATTTGAGGTGTGGTCGGCGGTCGAGAATACAGTCGGGGTGAAGCGCTGAACCTCGTTTATAGTCGCCATTGTGAAGTGACACGACTGCACGCCACTCACCGGAATGATTTCCTCTCGCTCGGGGAACTCTCGTCTTAGCTCCTCGTAAACTTTCTCTTGAAAGTCGGGTCTGTGAATCATATTGAGCATCGCCCAAGCTAGTGTCGTCATTGTAGTTTCCAAACCCGCCATGAACAGATCAGCGAGCATAAACGGGATATCTTCTTCTGGAAACGCATCAAGTTTTCCCGATTCTTTCAATAAAGCTTCCCAGATAAAGTCCGAAAAGCATTCATGTTCACGATTCTCATCGTCTTTTGGTCTTCGTGTATTAAAATTTTCTTGAAGGAATTGCAGGAATTCTACTCGTAAACGCATGAGTTCTTTGGTTTGAGACATTCGTTTGCTGATTAAGAAAGGCAAAACCCAAATAGGAAGTGTAGGATTAAGCAATTCGAACTTTCGCATCAGTTTTTGGTGGATAATTTTGTATGATTTGTCATCAAAGCTGTAAGAGGTGTTGAATAAAAGTTTGGATATGATGTTGTTGGTTGTGTATGCCATAGCAGCCTAACAAAATATTCAAATTAGAGCCCCTTTTAAATTTTTTCGTTATCATCAATTTAGAATCCCTACTGATGCTCTGGAAACACCCGGTAGATTTGTTTTGTTTTTCCAAAACAATTGTTGAAACGGTATTATGAGCTCAAAACAGTATTTGCAATCATAATGCAAAATTTTAGTAAAAAGCTTTAAAAACGATGACGTGACTTTTCTCACGGTATGGGAATATTATTTTTTTTCTTCGAAAAATTGTTTTTTTTTTACATTGATGTCGTATATGATGCATGGATAGCAGAAAATGTAGTTTTACAATGACAAAAGCTTGGTTTTAATTTCAAAAAGACTTGATAAAAACTAAGTTTTTACCGAAATGTTCAGATTGGTGTTCACAAACTTCTCCAAATGGAGTAGCAGAGATTCGGTTTCTTCTTGAATGCCGAGCGAGAAAAGCGACTTCCCGACTCCCAACAGTCGAAGTGCATTTAGGAAGAACTTGCGCTTTGATTTGGCTTCGTCACCCGGGCAGAGAAAGATTCCTCGTTCGTATCTCATTTCACCGAACAAACTGAAAATCCTCCTGGATGCAAATCGTGAGTCATACAGGAAATCTTTGGCAATCTCAAAATCCTCCACCCATACATCCCATGTTTTATGGCCCATTATGGACACGGAAATGACAGGGCCATACTTTTGATGCAATGTCCGTAAGCGATCTGGAAATTTTTCGTCAAACATGGCGTTGTGGATGTTTCCAATCACCGGTAGACATAAGGGTCCGGGAGGAAATTTGGACGGCCTTGATTTGAACCAGAGCCATGACAAGAAGATTACCACAAACGCGAGTAAATACACAAACATGATTTTAACGATCTAAGGGTAAAGGTACCCAGCTTTATGTTGTGTTTATGGGTTATGAGAAAAGATCGTTATACAACTACTATTAAGAAATTCCTGTCTGAGTATTTCACATATGATTTTGATACTAATTCTGCTTCAGATGAGACAATTTATATGGTTTTTGGAGCAGATATCATATCAAGAGTTTGTAATAATTTCTATTTGAAATATCTAGTTAGTTATAGGTCGTTACATTTTTTGGTCAATTCAAAACAATTATCAATCAAAGTTGAAACAAAAACTAGTTGAAATCAGTTTTAGCTTACTTATTGAGCAGGCGATATTGGGTTAAGACATAAATGTGGCTGAAAATAAGGCCTTTTGAATGAGCATTCTTGAATGCATAAGTCAATCTTAAAGAAAAGATAACTAGTCGTGACTTGAGCCGAGGAGTTATCTCCAGACCTTGAAAGTGGCACTGCACTGTAATCCCGGGTTGACCAAAAATTCCTATCATACAATTTCCATATATGAAAAACTTTTTACCATGCAATTCCGTACAATGCCATACGTACCGAAAAATATATTATTCCATATATGAAAATTGTATGAGAAGTATTTTCCATAAACCAAAACTTTAATTTTTTTCTAAATTAATTTCTGAAATGTTTTGGGTCGTGTTTGTAACCCAATGCAATTGACAGAGAACTTGGTTTACTTTAAGCAACAAATTTTTGACTGTCTCGCATTTACATTGTATATAAACGACCTGAAATGTCTTAAATCTGTCTTTCACAAATGATATAAAGAAATTAACAAACTTTTAAATTTTGGCGAAAATTTTCAAAATGATAAATTTCAAAGATTGCGTTTTTAATTATTCTTCGATTGACCTAGGCATACGTAAACATGCCATACAAAATAAAGAGGCGTCTTGAGCGTTTTTGAAAAAAAAAAATTCAGAGAAACTAAAAAAAAATCCATTTTTTGTGTATCCAGAACTGCGTTATGCACACAATAAATTAAATTTTGCATGCAAAAAATTTTTTTTGTAAAATATTTGTTTGTGCGCTAAACTCGTTTTGCGGATGAAAAAAATTAAACAATTTTTTGCATGGGGCAATTTCAAAACTACTTGAAAAATTTTTGAGTCTTCATCAAAAAAATGCTAGTCATACAATTTCCATTAATGGGAATTGTATGATAATCTTTTTTTTTCATGAAAACAAAAATCTCAGTTTTTTCCTCGCCAGAGTGTCTTGTTAGAATGAAAAGCTGCTGAAATTAGTTAATATCTTTTATCAACCATTTAATGAAATTTAATGAAAATTGTATGGCAAATAGCTTTCCATGCACTTGATGTATGGAATTGTATGATAAGCATTTTCGGTGTATGGAGTTCAACCCAGGATCGATAGGATTTGAAGTTGCAAAATTCTCGACTGGAAAACTGGACGGGAACCACTCGACAAACATAAACCTCGTTAGCATAAACAGTTGAAAACACGAAGATGTATTGACAAGCATAATTTTTTCATAGCTTTTTTTCTCAGAAATTCAAAACGACAAAAAGAAACCTTTCAAACTGAAACATGCATTTCTGAAATAGAAAGATAAGATATTAATCAGTATCAACAAGCAAATGAAATTCCTTGTCACATAAATTATGAGCAGTCATACCACGGGCGGATTTAGAGAGGGGGCCGGGGGAGGAGTACGCGCTCTCACCCCTCAAGGATTCGACCGCTGTCCACCAAAAAACGTTCACCCTTTGAACTGAAAATCTATTTATTATACACCCTTTGAATGAAACAAATCTATTTATTATATAAAGAAATAATCTCGAAAAAAATTATTGGATCTATCAATTTTTTTTCGAAAAAAATTGATGAACTTATCAATTTTCCTTTGATTTGTTTTGGGATATTTACGTTTAATATGTTTCATTTATTACAACTATTAATTGCTATAGACTTTTTTCCTCAAATTGTTTTTAGAAGCCTATTTTGTTTTATTTGATTTGTGCATTCGTTTAGTTTCACAGGTACTCTGTTATAGCCTGAAAGTTCAATTATATTATTATTTCTGCCGCAACAAAATTTCTAGTCAAGCTATGTTGTGTAATGAACAGTTCGGCTGGTAAAATTTTAAACTTTAACAGTTAATTATAAACATGATCATAATTTCTGGGGAGATAGCACATTTTGATTGCCCAGTTACTTTCTCTGCATAAACTGTTAGTTTGAAACATGGGTAGAATTAAAAGAAAACCGGAGTTAAAAGTAAAATTTGAAAAACTAACAATCTGAAAAGAATAGTTGTTGTCTCTAATGTTACCATATGTCGCACACAGTATAGTGACTGAATTGCAACAGCAATTCTGCCAAAGCATTTGTTCAGTTCAGCTGAAAACGTGAGATTTTGAATCACTAGCACTAAAAAATATCTGGCAGGCTCCTTTGCGGAAATCTCGCTGGCTCCTTTGTTTCTTCTTTATAAATCACATTTTCTGAAATATTCCCTTCCCACTCACAATACGATAAATGCTGTTCTATCAGAATTAAAAAGTAGTCTATTTTCATTCAAATTTTTAAGTACATTTTTAGCATTTATCCTATTGATGTTTTTAGGTCCGGTTTTGAGTTTCCTGTGCACAAGATATTTGTATACCAATTTCATGCTTGTGTTCATTTAGTTTTTAAAATCATCTAGATACAGAAAGAAAACCAATAGTCCCAAAACATTATTTTTTGGTATGTCATGATCAATTGTTTTTTTTTTAAATCACAATAAAGATTTTGAAGTTTTACACATTGCTGAAGGTCTATTAAAAAGTCCTTCAAGAAACTTGATGCAGTATTAGAAAGGCCATACAATTCAATTTCTTATCAGACAATTCCAGAAAAATTTGAACTGAAAGTTCTACCCAAGATCTAAAAAAGTGCCTTTGTTTTCTTCGACATTCCAAGTTTTCACAGACCATTTTGGTAAAAGTGATAACCGCATCAGTAGTGAACTTGTTATTCGGAAACCCAAATTGGTAGACTTTTAATAACGAAAGCGTGTTTGTATCATAAATTGGCCTTCTTTTTTTGAAGACAGTTTTTATATATATTTTTTTGAGGATTGATGGAAACTGGTTTTGCATTATACTTTCATTTATTATGAATTGGAGGTATAAAAATCACCTTTTTGAAGGCAAAAAGCTTGCATTCCCTTTGGCACTGGAGACTTATTTAATAGTAATTTATTTAATTAATTAAGAAAAATCATCTTTTTGAAGGCAAAAAGCTTGCATTCCTTTTGGTACTGGAGACTTTTTTAATAGTAATTTATATAATTTTTTAAACTAAAGTTCTTTTTCTGTAAGGCAACGAAAGTCAAACACTGTATTTATCAATAATCTTTTGTTTTCAGGGTATATGCTTGCCATTAAGTATACCTAAAGTTGAAAAGAGATACTTCGTATAGCTAACTTTATATGATTTGCTATTTATACCATTTTTTTTGCCATATTTCAATGCATGTTTGCTAATATTTACTGATTATCTAAACCTTTGGCAATTTTTTTTTACTGTGACACATTAAATGTCAATAGCTGCAGTTATAAGTCTTTGTTTGTTTCCGGGGTATATTTTTACCATTAAATATACCTAAATTTAAAAAAAAACGATTAAAATGATTTGCTACTTAGTTATACCAGTGTTTTTTGCCATCTTTTAAAGCCTGCTTGCTAAAATTTACTGATTTTTTTTCTAGTTTTTTACCTAGTTTTTGAATGTGGACAATTGAGAGCAGAAGTAAAAGAAGGTACTACAGGATGATAATGAGTACTCAAATGCTTTACAGTTCACTCCTTGAAGAGGACATCTTTCGCAGACTACGCCTTGTATCAATTAGCAGTGATATCACATAACACAAAGATTGAACCGCAGGTAATTTGCATTTTTGACTGAACTTCTAAAATTGTAACATCTTTTTTGTGACTCAAGGTAGAGACATCAAGATTTATAGGTCCACTGAAGGGTGAAATTTTAAGATTCCTTGTAGAGTGAAATCATCAAATAAAATGAATCTAGGAATCCGTCATTTTTAAGCTGATCGAGCTTGAATTACCCTTGCAATAAGCAAGCATGGGCAAATTTAAGGAGGGGCAGGGGGTTGACGACTCTTCCTCAACAAAGTTCCATTGTTTTTACTAATCGAAAGCTGCTGAAAAATTTAAATTTAATTAGCTTCCAGTTTCCGAATAAGTATTTTTGTGCAATATGGAGCATGCGCTCTTCTGTTTTTTTTCTTCTGAAACGGTCTGAAACACTTCTGATTCGGAGGAATTTTCAAACCTTTCTGACCAATCATGAAAACTAAGGTCTAAACTAAGTTTCCCCTGTTAAAATTTTGGAAATTTTTTGCCTCAATTTGAATAATATTAGTTTTTGGCTTGCAAGATATTAATATTTCATGTGAAAGCGTATACTTTTCTGGGTTGAAGGGCAGTGTGTATGGATTAAGATAAATTATTTGATTGTCTGAAACTAAGCAAGGGCTGGTAAGTGAAATATTTTCATTCGTTATTCGTGATGCTTTTGAGACGTTTGGCACAGTAAAACTAGTACTTTCAGAAATTCGTAAAGTTTTCCCCCATTTTTAAACCTGTCCATTTTGAGCCTGTTCAATTTGAACCTGTCCACTATAAACTTGTCCTTTCTGACTTGTCCACTTTGAGCTGATTTGTCCAGATTGTCCATTTGAGCCGACTAAAAAAGTCGACGAAGATTTCGAAAAAACTTTTCGTACCCCCTCTCCCCACTCGAGAAAATCCT